TAAAAATATAAGTACACTTAATCAGTATCAAACTATAGGCATAAAAATACTCAAAGTAGATGAGTGTCTTAATGGTAATAGTGGTTTGACTGTTGGTATGCCTAACTCTAAAGTCATTTGGAAATATTCAATCATAGAACACTCCACTTCGCCAAAAAAGCTAATGAAGTGACCTCGCTTGGTGAAAGAATCAAAGACTTCTTGACGGTAGAGACTTGGGATAAAACTAGTCGAAAAAAAGAGAACTTGTTGTTTAACCAAACTGTCAAGACTCTTAATTAGGCTGAGCTGATTCTACTACTCTAATGTTATTTGACCAAACTATCACTATCACTGGCTGCTTCTTGAAAATTTTGTTTAACCGAACTATAATCGTCTGTCGGCTGCTAACTCTAAACCTGTTTAACCAAATTGAATTTGTGTTGACTTGTTTATTGGAGTAGTTAGTATATTTCTCAGTGGTGTGAGCACGTTCCGCGTAGAGTGTTGATTGTATGTTGAGTTGAAGGTCCTTCCCCAGTTGCACAACGCCCTGTATTATAAGAAAAAGTTGCTTGATATTCAAGTCGAATTACTGTAGAGTCTGATCCTTGGAATGTTATCTTGAAATTCTTGAGATTGCATGTCCTCAACCATTTGGTGCTATATCCCTTAAGTGATGCTTTCTGTGCAAGCATGCAATGTTCATACCCACATTCTTGTCCAAGTACATGCACGCCTTGCCAAGAAAAAAGAATACCCTTATTTGTAGCTTACCTAGAAATCCACCATATCACTCTAGTATCCCACATAAACTCAACCGTATTAAAAGGGAATGGTTCAGAAAGTCCTTAATAAAATCTCAATATAATTATCATGCTTATAAAAATCAATGATAATATCTTGAAGTCATTAAATTAACTGATTTTTCCACTATCCAATGGAAAAAAAAAAAAAATGGCTGGGCCGGGAGCGTGCTAAATTGGGTCCCAACATTACACTGCTGGCTGAGACTAGGACTCAATTCGGCCGAAAATGTGAATTCAGTCTCAAACACATCCAGAGTAAGATACGCAAGGAAAAGTGTTCGTGTGTGTGCAACACATGATGAGTTTTGTTTGATTAATAGATGTGGTATATCCATTCGAAAAGTGTAGCTTAGGTGGTAAATTGATAAGATTTTAACCAAAAAATGAGTGATATTTGTACATACATCTAATAATCCTGGAGGTGTTTGTTTAATATTTCGTTCATTTATGATTTATATTCCATAAACACAAAAATGAAACTTGCCGTTGCCATATCATTCATCTGACAACAGACGTAACCATCAATCAAACAAGATTTAAATTGATGCAATCTTGAACCTCCAAATGTAAATTGCTTCACTGACGCATAGTTTTTTTTTGAACAAACAATATTATTTACACTAAGGGGAGAGTGGTAGGCTTAGCCTCACAATGTACTAGCAATAATGTGGTTCAAACTCGTCCTTGGCGAGAATCGAATCTAAGACTTCTCACTTACAAGTGAAGAAGAAGCGGCATCAATGACACAGTTTTATATATAGCTACAACACCAACTCAAATAATAATCTAAAAGGTTCAAGGATCATATCCCTGCAAGATGGATATCGTCCAAGAGCATGATTGTGTACAAGATGGAACATATAATAATTTATGCCATTAATGTATACTTTTAATCTTAACTCCGCCTGTGAAAATTTATCTTACATTGCCGATCCCAAGCCCGGATGAAGGAGGAAGGGGAGGGCATCAGGTAGTCGACAACCGGCACTTCTATCTTACATCGAATCCTTATGATAATGAATCCTAAACAAAATTGCGCTAAAGCTAGGTCGTCACCAGTAAGTGGCGCACTGTGTGGCCCGAGCACAGTGATAAGTGAGCAAGGGTCGCTGTATCTCCATCGGTGCCTGGATGGAGTGTTAAATGAGCAAGGGGGCCACAAAAACTTCTTTTTGAAAGACTCCACTCAAAGTTGTTTGGAAGCATTTGCTCCTATCAACTTTACACATGTTAGCAAAAGAAGTACTTTGACCTTATTAGACGGGGAGGGTGAAGAAGCTAGGACAGGAGGGTATAGTTCAAGAGAGTAGAATGCATTTAGGAAAGTGGAATATAGGAACCTTAATGGGAAAATCTATGGAAGTAGTGGAATTTATGGTGCGGAGAAGGATAAATATTATGTGCCTCCAAGAAACTAAGTGGGTTGGTCTTCAGGCAAAGGATCTTGAAAACTCATGTTTTAAACTTTGGTATCCAGGCACAAATAGAATGAGAAATGATGTTGGCATCATTGTGGACAAGACCTTAACACAAGATGTTGTAGATGTCAAGAGGGTAGGAGATAGAATTATGGCAATCAAGATTGTAATAGGATAAGAACTCATCAATGTGATTAGTGTGTAAACACCTCAAGTAGGGTTGGATATGAGTTTAAAGGAGAAATTTTGGGAAAACCTTGGAGATTTGGTGCAAGGAATCGCTCAGACGGAGAAGGTATTCATAGGAGGAGATTTAAATGGACATGTGGGTAAGGAGATAGGCAACTATGAAGTTTTTCATGGTGGCCATGGTTTTGGGGAGAGAAACGAGGATGGGGAAGCCATCACGGATTTTGCAATGGCATAAGATCTCTTCTTTAAGAATAACATGTGATCACCTACGAGAGTGGGCAGTCAAAAACACAAATATATTTTCTTCTAATGAGGAAGAGGGATCGTATAACTTGTAAGGATTGTAAAGTTATACTGGGAGAGAGCTTGGCTAATCAGCATCGTTTGTTGGTGATGGATGTACATATCTAAAGAGAGAGAAAAAAGAAAAAGACCTTGAAGTGCACAAAGACTAGATGGTGGAATCTAAAAGGAGAAAAATAGGCCATTTTCAAAGAGAAAGTAATAACCCAAAGTGTTTGGGATAGAGAGGAGGAAGCTAGTCAAATGTGGGATTCCATGGCTAGTAGTATCCGAAAAGTGGCAAAATGGGTATCAGGAGAGCCCAAGTGCTTTGCTCCACACCAAAAGGAATCTTGGTGGTGGAAGAAGGAGGTACATACAAAGATTAAGGCTAAGAAGGAATGTTGTAAACCCTTATACAAGGGTAGGATCGAAGCAAATAGTGAAAGGTATAGAATAACGAAGAAGGAGAAGAACAAAGTTGTGAGACAAGCTAAGCTAGCGGCTTTTGATGATATATATAAGTGACTAGATACCAAATAAGGAGAGTTGGATATCTATAAACTAGCTAGAGCAAGAGAAAAGAAGACAAATGACCTAAACCAAGTGAGGTGCATCAAGGATGAGAATGGAAAAGTTCTTGCTACAGAGAACGCGGTCAAAGATAGATGAAGAGGTTATTTCCATAATCTTTTCAATGAAGGACAGGAAAAGAGTACTTCTTTGGGGGAGTTTAGTAACTCAGAAGAGTGTAGAAACTACTCATTTTATTACCGAATCAGGAAGAAAGAAGTGGTTGTAGCTTTGAAAAAGACGAAGCATAGAAAAGCAGTGGCCTATATGATATGTTGATCGAAGTGTGGAAAGTCTTGGGAGAGACAGGTATAGCATGGCTCACAAACCTTTTCAATAGGATTTTGAAAATGAAGAAGATGCCAAATGAGTGGCGAAAGAGCACTTTGGTGCCTATCTACAAGAATAAAGGCGACGTACAAAATTGCATGAACTATAGGGGTATTAAGTTAATGAGTCATACAATGAAGCTCTGGGAGAGAGTAATTGAGCATAGACTGAGGCAAGAAACACGGGTCTCGGACAATCAATTCGGGTTCATGCCAGGGCGCTCAACCATGGAGGCAATCTATCTCTTACGAGGATCGATGGAAAGATATAAAGATATGAACAAGGATTTGCACATGGTCTTTATAGATTTGGAAAAAACATATGATAGGGTCACAAGAGACATTTTTTGGAGGATTTGAAAGTAGAAGAAAGGAGTACGAGTAGCATATATCCAAGATATAAAGGACATGTATGATGAAGTAAGGACTATAGTAAGAAATCATGAAGGACAAATTAAAAGCTTCCCCATAACTGTAAGGTTACATCAAGACTCATCTTTAAGCCCTTACCTTTTTGTATTGGTAATGGATGAGTTAACAAGACATATTCAAGATGATATTTCTTGGTGTATGTTTTCCGCAGACGATATAGTATTGATAGATGAAACTCAGGAATGAGTAAATGCGAAGCTTAACCTTTGGACAAAAGTGTTGCAAGCTAAGGGTGTTTGCCTAAGTCGGTCAAAGACAAAGTATATGAAATGCAAGTTCAGCGCAAACGGAGGCTCAAATGAGTTAGGGGTGAGGATTGGAGATCATGAAGTACCAAAGAGCGACTGCTTTTGCTACCTAAGATCTATCTTGCAAAAGAACGGAGAGTTGAATAGAGACTTCAACCATAGAATACAAGCTGGATGGATGAAGTGGAAGAGTTCATCTGGTGTGTTTTGTGACCGTTATATGCCACTGAAACTCAAGGAAAATTTTTATAGGATGACAATAAGGCCGACAATGCTTTATGGCACGAAATGTTGGACGGTGAAGCAACAACACGTACATAAAGTGGGTGTAGCGGAGATGAGAATGCTTCGTTGGATATGTGGGCACACGAGAAAGGATAAGATTAGGAATTAGGATATCCGAGGTAAAGTAGGAGTAGCTGAAATTGAAGGAAAGATGAGAGAAAATCGGTTACAGTGGTTTGAACATGCGAAACGAAGGCTTATTGACTGTCTGGTTAGAAGATGCGATTACGGGACAGAGGTTTATGGCCGAAGGGGTAGAAGAAGACCTAGAAGGACTTTGGAAGAGACTCTAAGAAAAGACTTAGAGTACTTGGATCTAACGGAAGACGTGGCACAGAACCGAGCGAAATGGTGTTCTAGGATTCATATAGCCGATCCCACTTAGTGGGAAAATGCTTTGTTGTTGTTGTTGTAATGTATACATTTAAACTTATAGTGAAGAAAATAACAATCTGCTTGAAAATACTGAGAATGCAGTAATATTACTTGTTTAATATTGGTAAATCAACCTTGTTCTGATTGCTTAATACATTGTACCTCCTAGGTTTACATCCCAGAAAGGAAAAAAGAACAAATAAATAAAAACACACACTAAAACACTCGCCACATGCTATAGTGGAGACAAGAAAGAAAATAAATAAAATTAAACCATAATATAGAATTCTGCAGCTTAATTATAACGTGCTTCTTCGCACTCAAAATACTTAAGGTATCCCAATGATGGGGATGAAAGGAACATAATAGCTTGAGGGTGCCAACCCCCACCCTGGTGGTAGAGGCACATCAATAGTCTTGGATGAACCAAACTTGTTTATGGCTTTACAGGCTGCATCTTTGATGTTCAAAGGGCATGATGTAGAGAAACCAAGAGGAGTTGAAGTGGTGTAAGTGTTGGAGTCTTGGGTCTTGACAATCTCAGATGCCAAGAATTTCCTGGAGGAATAGAGCTGATCTGGTCCTCCAAGAATCCTGGCGAGGCAGTTCATAGCTTCTGGAGTTTTAGGGTTGTTGTTTGATGGGAGCTTTGCTTCAAAAGAGCCATCCTTTTCTGTTATTGCCATTGCCAACTTCTTCACTTTGTCACACTTCACCAAAACCTTGATTTCTGAAACATATAACACACGAAGTAAAATAAGAATTTGTCAAATTTTAAAACTGGGTAATTTGAAAAATTGGAAGAAATTACCCATTTTTATAAACCCTAAAGACTTTCAACCCCCCATTCTTTTAAGATCTAGAAATAAAACTACTCAGCCAATTAATACTACAGGCTAGTAGGTAGTCATTTCCATTTGTTAAGCGAAAAATCTTAAGTTTGACTTCCGTTAATAACGAATTTGGTACAAATTTATTAGGCTGGCCTATTTTGGCTTAACCCAAATCATACTCCCAAGCGTAAATATATTCTTATATAAATAAAATAATATAAAACCACTTCTAAGTGTAAATTTATTTATTTTTAGATCTGGCCATAATTATATCCTTTAGTACATAAATTTGGTTTGACTCTTATAAATGATGAGTTTGACTTTTAATTTATTATGGCTGACCTATTATTGTGTGACCTAATCCAAATTACGTACACTTAGTGTAAAATATGTGACTGTACACAAAAATAAAATAAATAATTAAATAAGGTCCCCTCGAGCACCACTCACTCCTTCTGAAGAAGTATTCGAGCTCTCTCAAGCAATGATTGGACTCCATTAAGTAGTGTTACTCAAACCCCCAGAGTGGTTAAAATTCTATAAGTCTAGAAAAATGTACTAAGAATTCCACATTCGGAACAATTAATAGGGTTTCTTAACTTCAAGTTTAAGTTAGGGCAAAAATGAAAAAAATAAATAAAAAAACAAAAAAACAAATATAGAGAATAACATTAACAAATCGGACCTGAGAAATCATAGTTTTGATGGCAATCAAGGCAAGTGACCTTGCCCTTCAGAACTTGGCATGTGGAGGTCTCGACATTTGCAAGAACCAAAGCAAAGAGAAGTGCTGGGAGAATCCAGGAAAGCGCCATTGAAGTAAACTAATCACTCACTCACTTACAGAAACACTGGCAAACTGAATTAATTTAAAGAAAAGGTAAGCGTATAGAAGCTTATAGATAGATGAGGAGGGGCCATATTAAATAAATGGCCCCAGTGAATGAGTTTAGTAGTTGGCTCTGTCGTGAAGGGCTTTTAATTTTGCTTGTCCAAAATTTATTGGCATGCCAATTTCTTTTGCATCAGAGTCTTCTGATAAACAGGTGTATTGATTATGACGGTAGAGGCTAGGAATGATATTTTGGAAGGTTAAGTAATGTTGGTATTCAATCCTGACAGAAATTTTGGTGGAGGATGTTGAATATCCCGCTTCGTTTGCCAGAAATTTACAACTTCTAGTTACATGGTTTTATTCTTAATTACACCGAATTTTTAAAGGATAAAAAAATCTTACTTTTCCTGAATGAGTAGGTAGTTAAATTGAAGGCAATATCAATGTTGAACCATTGGCCTGTCTCTATAACTTTAACACAGACATCTTGGCACATGTACACATTATTTAATATATATAAATATACAAGCCCGTTATGCAAAGAGATTCTCATTTTTTTGAAAAACATGAGGATTAGGTGTGAGGCCCACTCCACATCGAATTTCAACGATCCAAATGTCTATTTTGTAAGTCTCGATTCATAGATTGTCCTTGAAAAAAATTCAATTTAATCCGACATCATTTGCCTATTTAATTATCAAGATCAAATTTCATTGTTTCTTATATAACAAAGTATTCGTTCATTTCTTTAAACCTAATTAGATGTCTTAAATATTTCCAATTCGGCTAATATTTTGCAAAGATGATCTATGAGGTACAACTTGAAAAATAGACGGTTCGGATTATTAAAGTTCGATGTGGTGTGGATCCCACAACTAATCCCAATTTTTATAAAAAATGAAAATCTCTTCCCTTAAAGGCTTTATATATATATATATATATATATATATATATATATATATATATATATATTACAAACAATATTTACCATTCTAAGTTAAGAGGAACGGGGTAAAGGTTTGAATAGACCTAATTCACTGGAACAATTCATCACCAGCATTTTGGTACGAAATACCATGGTACATGTAGATTTTGTCCTGCTTCAATTTCTAACCAAATTTTGCGTCTTCCCTTCAAATATCACCAATATAAGCTCATTTGAGCATAATCTCATTTCATTTGGGGTCAATTATATATAACTTTATTAAAACAATTACAAAGAAACGAAATATAGCCAGATACAGACCCCAAAAGTGGTAGGAATTTTCAGAGCACTCTACTTTTTTCGTCTTCTTCTAAATTCTAGTTAAATTAGAATGATGTTATTTTAGTTTAAGTTTTATTTTTGTGTTTGATAATAATATTTTTGTCCTTTTTTTTCTCAACCGAAAAAATTAAAAGTGAAAAAAATAAAATAAAATTATCAAATGGACTCTTAATTGTAAGTCAAGCACAAAATAATAGATGGAGAGGAAGATGCAGAGTCTATTTGAACTTGATTTTTTTTCTCATTCAAGAATTAGAGTAATTTCTAAGCATATAATCTTTGTTGCTCACTTATATTAAACCACAAAATTAAACATGGTGAATTATCAATATTATTTTTGTTATTATTATTATTAGCTCATATTAAACATCAAAACATGGTGATTACCAATATTATTCTTGTTAGGATTTTTATCATAAATGGTTCCTGAAATTGACCCTTACCATCAAGATGGTCCATGAAATTGAAAATCAATTAGTGTAGTCCCCAAAAATAGGTGTCACAAATCAATATGATTCTTTCGTCACAATTCTGTTAAAAATTTGTTATGTGCCGATGTGGCAAATAAATGGGCCCCACAAGGTTTACGAGTTTTTATACAAATAGTTCCTGAAATTGATCCACACCATCAAGATTGTCCCTAAAATTGACTCATACCATCAAGATGGTCCCTAAAATTGAAAATCGATGAATGTAATCCTTGAAAATAGGTGTTGCAAATCAATATGATCCTTCTACCGCAATTCTGTAAAATTTTTTGTTATGTGCTGATGTGGGTTTAATAATTAATTTAAAAAGTTGTCCAAATATCTTTTTGCGCAGTGGAATTCTTTTTTTATAGTAGAGCCTACTTCGAAGAGAGATCTCTTCTATAAATTCTCAAAGGCACAGGCTTAACTAAGGCCTAAGAGGGGGTTTGAAATAGTTTTCAACCAATAATAGATGTACCTCAGTTATAACCTCATTATCTCAAGATAGACCTCGTCGTTCTTTGAGTCACCAGACCACCAAGGAAGCGCTGAACAATCTCTCCAAGATTACGTTTGTGAGGATGTTGATCGCCTAATGTTAACGGTGATCTCCCATAAGTCGTTGCCAATCAGCCAAGTTGTCACCAAAAGTGATCTCGATCCAAGTTCAATTTGGTGAAGGGTGTCAAATTGTGTAGGAATGGGTATATTGAGATTTTTTTAAGAAGATAGTGAAGGAGGTAGAGGAATGTGGACTAGGATCGAAGGTGATAGCAAGACTGAGTTTTTGGGTTGACATTTGTTTATTAACTATTAAATTATTAAACCTATTTGTAATTTTTTTATTTAATTAGACTTGTGTGACCCATTTATGTGTTACATCAGCATATAACATAATATTTGACAGAATTGTAACAGAAAGACTACATTGATTTGGGACACTTGTGGGACTACATTGATCAATTTTCAATTTCAAAGACTATTTTGATGTTGCAGGTCAATTTCAAGGACCATTTTGATGTCGCGGGTCATTTCAAGGACCATTTGTGAGAAAAAGGACTTATGAGACCCATTGATCTTCCACATCAGCACTTAATAGAATTTTTAACAGAATTATGACGGAATGACCACATTGATTTGCAACACCTATTTTCAGGGACTACATTAATTGATTTTCAATTTAAGAGACCATCTTGATGGTGAGGGTCAATTTCAGGGATCATTTGTGATAAAATCCCTTCTTGTTATTATTATTATTATCCACTTGAGTTTACTGATGGAGTAGCTAGAATTTGTTCGTGTGAGTCAACAATTTTATTTATTTATTGTAATATTCTAATTCTTGTTGCAATTCTAATTAGGTTAGGAATGTGATTGTGTAAATCCTAAGAAATTTATGTTTCCTACTATTATAAATAGGGGCATAATGGGGTGAGATAATATACCTCAGAATTCACCAAATTCTCTCTCTTGCTTGTCGCGCCCCTCTCTCTCCCACTCTATAAATCCTCATGATGCATGAACCCCCATTCTATTATTTCATAATTTTACTATTGTAAACATGAAAATTATGTGATGAATGGAAAGAGAACATGTGTACAAAGTAGATTTATATTGATTTTCCAATCTCTGTTTACAATTTTCCTCTGATTCAATCTTCAAATTTGAGGTAGATGCGTAGGTTGTTGATCCAAGGGTCGCAATGACTTGATCTTGGACGAATGATTGAACGATTGCTTCAAGTTTTGAGCTTTAAACAATGTGTGGTTAGTTTTCACCTCTAAGTTTGTGTGACCTACGGCAAAGGTGAAGTTGATGTGAGATTTTGTTGATTCAAGGGTCTTGGTGACTTGATCTTGAATCGAACATCATTACAAGTTTTAAGCTTGCAACAAAGTCTTGAAAGAATTGGCACAAGTGATTGTAAATTCTTCAAGGGAATGCTTTGGCTTTGGTCGAAAGAAAGCTTCAGCTTTGGTTGTACGTTCTTCGAAGAGAGCTTTGGCAGTGTATTAGTCTTCAAAGATTTGGCAAAGGTTCCCCTTTTGTGAGAATTTCAGCCTTTCAATGTAAAAATTGTCGACCTTTATGCTTGTTTAAGGACCTTGTATTTATAAACTTCTCAAAGCTTGCTGTTGGATAGATTTGGCTTTGATTTGTGTATTGATTCGTCCATGGGAGAATTTAGGCATGTTTTGTGTCTTAATTTCAGCCACTTTCCCTTGCTTGGCTGAAATCTGTAGGGCTTTCTTGCCTATTTTGTGAGTAATCTTCAATTCTTGCTTGTTTTGTGAAGATGCTTTAGCTTTCTTTTCGGTTTTGGGAGGAATTTGGCCCCTTGCCAATTTTAAGGAGATTTATTCTCCTTTGCCGCATTTTGGGAATGCTTTTTAGCTTCCTTTGCTTGATTTGTGCCACATGTCATTGATGACTTATCCATTTGTGATGAGTCATATGCCACGTGGAGCTTTGGGATATATCATTTGCATGCAACGAAATTTACAGGTCCACAAATTCCCCCACTTCAAGGCGCGTTGTAGGCATGTGCTTGTCACATATAGGAAACATGTTTTGAAGTCCTGCAATATGAATGTTCTAACTCAAGGGTCGTCGAGACTTGATCTTGAATTAGTTTGCTTCTTCAAGGGCCGTAGAGGCGTATTTCTTGAATTAAACATTTTTCAAGGGCTGTTGAGGCGTATTTCTTGAATTGAGATGATGAATTTCGTCAAGGGCTGTTGAAGTGTATTTCTTGGATGAAACATTCCTTCAAGGGCCATTGAGGCTTAGTCTTGAATGAAATGAAAATTTTCTTCAAGGGCCGTAGAGGCTTTATTTGATGGAATGGAAATTTTCTTCAAGGGCCATAGAGGCTTGATCTTGATTGAAATGAAAATTTAATTCAAGGGTTGTACAACCTTAATCTTGAATGAAAATTTTGAAAATGCATAAATCGGCACATACTTATTGTGCGTATTGATTTTCCATAATTTTTTGACAAAATACATTTGGTGTATTTTGAGGCTTAGATTTTTTCCTTGTGGGTGAAGGGAAACAATGCTTTTTCTTTCCTTAAGTAGGAGCCTCCTTCAATTTTGACAATGAGGGTGATTTCCTTCAAGGTTTTGGAAAGCTTTGGTGATTTCCTTCAAGGTTTTGGAAAGCTTTAATGCTTGTCCTTGGGTAAGGAGGATTTGCATTTTTATTTCCTTTTCATTTTCATTTTTTTTGGGCCAAGGAAGGTGTTTTCCCCTTTGATTTGGGAAACTTGAAGACTTGTCCTTGCCTGGGAGGGATTTCC